TCTGTGTACAGCAAGTTTTTGAACAAAATTTCTTTGCAGAACTGGGTCTTGTGAATTTTCAGCAGCTTCCAAAATTCTATTCGAAACAGCCGAAGATTTCCTACTGTTTAGAACGACTAAGGAACATTCTCTTGTTTCAGAGCCGGTCCGTCAATCGGCACGGCAGGCGCGCAACAGCAACTTTCGTGGCTTCATCTATTCGTGCATAAATCTTCACCAGGCATCATTCACAAAGCGAAAAAAGGTACGTCAGGTGAGCATGCATCACTCTAAAATGCACATCAGCTACCTCCCATCCTCAACAGGAACAGCTGACAAAAGAAAAAAGCCACAGCCTTTTGCTAATCCTTTGAAACGTGACCCAAAAGTTTCTGCGTTCCACTACTATCTCCGGAGAATAAAAAGAAGAAAGGATAGTTTGTAACCATTGGAATGTCCATCTTCCTAACACACTTATGACGGAGCCCATTTCACTCGCTCCTTCTAGTCAAGTTAACGGTAAGGTACTGATCTTCATTTCAATGACATCACCAAGAGTGCTTTATTTTAAAGGCAAAATAGACAGTAAATATGTGATAAACATAATGCGTAGTCTTCTGTTTCCCTCCCAGGCAGTGGCACTCGTTTATCAACCTTGGAAGGAAGAAAGGCCAGAGGCCCCGACGGGGCGTGAACTAATGACGTAACGATCGTGAGTTCGATGCTCTACTGAACAACCCCTGTCTGAAGCGATGTGCGGCCAGTTCCTTGATGTTGGTGTTTAAGACAAAGAATTAACATGCGCCGGAATCAAACCCGAGCCGGTAGGATTGCCGATCCTGTAGGCAGTTTGCGACCCGTTTTGCTGCATTTCGTAAAGACCACATGGATTGAATTAGAGAGAGTGCTGAGCTGCTCAGCAGCTTCATGCAGTTATACCATGAAAATCAATAACTGAGAGCTGAATCTGCCCTTTTTTATACCGGATGAAGCTGAATCTAGTCCAAGGACCGGCAAATTCTGCAGCCTATTTTGCAAGGAGTCGCTTTCTTCATGAGAAAGGCTTTTTTTCACTTACACAACACCTATTACGTCCTGCAGAGATCGTTTTAGCCACTCTTCCCCATAAATTTAAGGACAACATGTGGCAATCCATTTACAAAGAATTATTCGCTAGAATCACTGTGGTTTCAGAGCAGACTTTTAGATTTGTATAATGCAGTTATGTTCGCTTTAATTTTGGTATCGTTAAATATTGTTATGCATATGTTGTTGTTGCTGCTGTCGTCGTCATCTATGGTGTTAGAATCAAGAACAGAGTACCTAGATTAATTATGTCGGACGTTTTGGTTTCTCAGAATGATTCAGGCAATAATGATTGCTGCAGCAAAGGTCATTTTGTTCATCGCAAGCAATCCATCTATAGCAGCTGTTTTCGGTCGTGATGCTAGACTCCGACGTGTCTGCGGCCATCCTTTGCTTCCTAGAGAAGAAGGGTTTTGGATAAGACCTCATTCTCTTTTCGGATGGTTCTGTCAAACCACGACAGAGGTCGGACCCTGATTTTTTTCAGACGGCATTCTCAGGCCGATCGTCTTCATCATCATTTCATTCGCTATTCAATGGAACCATCGCACTTCCAGTATGTTCCACAGTCAGCGTTACTGAAAAGTGTCCAAATCGTTTTTATGACTCTTTAAATGGGATGATGTTTCAAGGCTGTTCTTTAGAGTCAAGAAGACGGCGTCTTTCGGTATGGTGATCTTTGTTGCTGTCTGGTAAATCGGTCTTGTAACACTTTGAAACGTCACTCAATATTCACAGATGCCAATCCTAAGCTCCGTTCAATTTCCATATCGCAGTTTCCATCTCTTGCCCATACAGAGTCAAGGTATTTGAATTTTTCAATAACTTCCTCGATGGTTTTCGACTCCCTTGAATTTGGGTCGTTAGTCAAGTCGGGTTCAAGCAAGATCTTTGTTTGCTTGTTGTCGGGTTAACTTCTAGGCCTACCGTCGAGGCGATCGTAAGTAGTGCCAGTATGCCAGTAGTGGAGTCGCTCAGCAGCACATTGTCCTCAGCGTACTCGATATCTTTTATGAGTACTGCCGTGTAACTTCGGCTGAGTCATTGTCTGATACTAAATTCATCCGTGTTGTTAAGGGCGACGCTCTTCCAAATCGCATACTCCGTCACCATGTTGAACAACAGTGGTAAAAGTACCTCTCCTTGGCGCACTCCATGCTAAACTGGTCCGACAGCGACTCTTCTACTCGACGCCTTTAGTACCTTCGCACAGACCCTTCGACAGAGTGATGACCTTCTGCGGTACTCCACACTGTTGCAGTGTGCGCCACAAGGACTGACGGTGTACAAAGCCGAAAGCTGCTCGAAAGTCGAGGAATAACTGCATGCTAGGAGATTGGAAGTTCCTTCCCTGTTCGATCATCTTTTTAGCACGAAGATGGCATCCGTAGATTAGAGTCTAGTTGCTATTCACATACAGAAACAGTTCCTTTTGATCGTCGTCAATCTTGTTACTATTGAACAGGGCAGTTCAGTTGCAAATCTGCCATATGCCATAGCAAATTTGGGTCTGAAATTCACAACCCGTTTTCCGTATTTGCTGAAAGACGAATCCTACAGAGTTAGAATGATAAGAAGGTATCGCACCTCATGTGAACTTCAAAATATTGATCAGAATAAGTGTAGCTTAAGTAATTGTCCCTATATTGAAAACAACAGGTGTTCCAATAATTGTGTTGTGCCCTCCTCATGGATGATTCTTGAAAGGCTGATTCAGGTTGTTTAAGTGACACTTTACTCAAATCAGCTAGTCTTTGGGACAAGTAATCTTGCTTTGAACTAATTGTCACTTCACATGGCATGGTCGAGCAATACCAATGATTCAATTTGCTACAGTTTGCAATTTTCTTTGAGTTGCAGGCGCGTTTGATTTTGCACAATATTCAACAATGTGAAAAACTTCAAGTTCTCTGGACACCTGAGGATTTCTATTTTGGAATTTTGGATCTGTGCAGGAACTAATTTTGACTTTAAAGTCAAATCAGAAAAATCGAAATGATTCTTTATTAGCTGTGGACCGCAAAGAAACCGTATTGTCGTCTTTACTATGGAACTTTCTTCTCGAATTTCTCCTCAGAAAAAGTGTGCAAAGATGAGGAACTCGTCTGAAAAGGAGGCGCAGTTTAGAAACCCGACCTGGCTATCTTGCTAATCTGGTGTGTAGTGTGAAAAATCGATTTCATCACTTGAAGAAATCCTTATGCAAGGTAGCGGCGATTGTTGGTATATCTTCCTCAATGACGAGTAGTCAAAAGTTATGAGCCAATGCAGTAGAAGAGGGAGGGAGACACCGTGCAAGTAGGAGTTAGAATGGTGTACGCTTTTGAACACTGCATAGCTGCAAGAAGACATCACTGAATTGGGCCCAACAAGGCATGTCCAGGTACTGTGTAGTCGCGGAGTGCGTTAACGATACCCCAGGGTACCTGAAGTAGTGGCAGGGTGAGAATATTCGCGTTATTACCGGGTTATGTGAACGACCGTCAGTGACTTGACCGTAAATCGTAATCGTACAACGGATTAGAAATACCATACCCTAATGTCTGATTTCCAACGAGTGACCGTCGTCCAATAACACACAGCTGCCGGCAAAGTATAAGCGATTAAGACGACTTACTATTTGGCAGAATCGTCGATCTGGTACTCGTTGTTGCGCGAGTAGCAGTGCCTGACTCCGGCGTCAGCCCAGAGTCGCTGCATGGCTTGAGACAGGTCTTCGCTGAACGGCTCGGTGTCCCGTTGAGCGTGAACCGTCGCGTACACAATTTGTGCATCTTTCTGTACGAACGGCACGCTATTACCGAACGACAGCACTGCGAAACGCCAAACACCAAGCCTTACCTGTCGTTCTGAGTCGCTGAACTCGATGTTCAACTGATACATGGCACGAAGCACGGCCAAAATCGCGTGGATCGTGTTGCTGTACACCACAGGCCGAATCATTTCAAAGTCCTGCTGTGAAAAGCCGTCTTTGTGCAGAATTCTACAACACAGCGATTTAAAGAACATCGTCACCACCAGGCCAGAGAGCAATCATGTCAATCATGTCTGACCCCAATGTTCATGCACCCCCTACAGACAACCACGTGCACAACCACAGCAACATTCACCGCCTACCCCAAGGTTAATGACAGTCCTCTGCCAAAACCGGCTGATCGTGCTGTCGCCACCACACAACCTCTATTTTAATGCTGGAAATAAGTCATCAACAGGTACCTGTATTTCTATATCCATAATGCCGAGACAGTCTGAAGTGAGAGTAGGCCGATAGGCCGCCAAACGACAACTAAAAGAACGTCCTTTCGATGTTGATCGATGCTTAACGTCCACCAATACTGCAGATTGGCTTACGTGGGAGAACT